AAGCCCCTCTCTGTGAGGCAAAATCTACACTCCACACAGCACGTCTGCCCCAGCTGCCTAGAGCCACCCTTACCGGCCAGCGTCCCCCAACACACTGGGCACCTCCAAGGCTCTGGGTCCCTGGCGTGCGTTTGCCTCGCTTCCCAGTCCCACGGCCTCCTATTCTGCACGGGACCCAGGGGCTCCTTCCCTGCGGCCCCCGCCTCCTCCCCCACCACGGCGTCCGTTGGGCTTTTATGATCATGTAGCTACCTGGCTCATGAGGATCGCACGCTGGGTAGGGGTGGTGTGTCCTTCCCACTACATCTAGACTTCATGCAGTGCTGTTCCTTGAGTGTTTGAATGACAAGTCCACTTTCAACTGAGCCGTCCTTTCAAGGTCTGCGGCCAGAGTCAGCACAAATGCCTCCCTTATCCTTTGAGCTATCGGCCGGCCACTGCCCCAGCCAGACCAGCTGCCTGCCCGGCTGGCCCTCCCCTCTGGCTTTCACTACCAGGATGGAAGTTTCTTTCAAGCAAGGACTAGAGCACCCCTGACTGGGGAGCTGAAGGGGAGAGGAGCAGTTCCACGCTGTGAGGTCAGGGCAGCCCACCAACCCCTTCTCAGCCAGCGGAGAATTGGTCTAGGTGCCAGCTCCGCTGTCAGATCTGTCTCTCCAGGCTGAGCCCCCAGCTGCCTCCCGCCTCCCAGCCGTCCACTGCGGCTCCCCAGGTAATCCTCGTTAAGCCCTGGTAGTTCAAGACCAACCTTCCCGTCTGTCCATCTGGACCCGCGGGAGCTGGTTTTCATCTCTTTCTGCCATACTTGCAAGGAGCCGGCCATCCTTTACAAACCCTGATGGCTTATAATCATTAAGTAAATGACTGTGTGGGTTTTCCACAATATTTATCTTCTCCCCCAAACCACCAGGGTTGTAGCTCTGGCATCAAATACTTGGAACTCAGCCCACCACCAGGTGCCATCTGGCTTTTCAGCTGAGAAACACCACACAGACATGCAGTCATGTCCTCTAAAGACAGGGCAAGAGAAGCAGAGGCCACATCAGGCCAAGGCGGCCACCGCAGCCCGGCCCACCCCTGAGGGGGCCCTGGGGAAGCCTGAAGAGATTGGGGGAAAGCAAAGGGATACCTCGCTACTAACCTCGGGATGCAGCCCTCGCTCTACCTGCTAAAAGCTTGGGGAATGATGGGTGGAGGATTTAACTATATGTAACATAGGCTTTGTCCGGATGCTACAGGCTGGGGCTGAGGTGGTGAAAGTTTATAGAAAGGAGTCTGGGTGTGTTTTTAAGTGTCAAACACTGAGGGGTGGCTTTTCATTGAGTGTTTTGGGGAGTAATGAGAGTGAACCCAAGAACTGCCTTTCAAGTGCCTCTGATGGTCTTCTTGCAGACAGGGCCGTGTCTGAGGGAGCAGCCGTGGGCACAGGCCCTCGGGAATCGTCCACTGGTGTCAGGAGCCATAGACTTCCTCCTAGTTCCCCCTTCCTTCTTAGCAGTCAGAAGCCCTGTGTGGCACAGTCTGGATCATAACCACCCTAAGCTGCCAGCTCCCAGAGCACATGATCCCTCTACTCCATACAGGAGAACCACCTCTGTTCTTTTCCACGCCCTTCCCAGACACAGCTGATTGGAGTGGCATTCCAGGCTTGCAGCAGCTAGAACTGTCCATATGCAGAGTTTCCCGGTGTCAGTACCTCCTAAAAGAGAGTGGCCACCCTTCCTTGACTTCCCCAGGAGCTCACTCTCCCTGCATTTGCACCAGCACCATAGCAGAGGTTGGTCTGGCATCCCCTCACAGCCAGTCTGTACCACACAGGTGCCCAGCATTCCTCCATGCCTGTTACTAGGTGGAGACGAAGGCCCCTCCTGACCAGCTCCTGGCTCTTGAACTCTTGTTGGGTCCCTTGGGTTTCTTTCCTTGGTAAGCACTCCCTGCTCGAATCTTGATTGTCCACTTTTGCCCCCGCTGGGGCCTCGGCATCCTCCGGCAAGCACAGCCTTGCCCTTGATGAGAATCGCAGGCATGTGTCGCCTCTCCCACTCGGCCATTCAGAGCAGGCTGAGTGGTTCTGCCTGCAGCAGACTTGGTTTTCTGCTGGAGGATGTGATAAGAGCAAGATTTATAGAGTGGACTCGTAATGCTCAAGGAGCACACACTTGCGTAGAGTAGCCCGGGCATCAACTGTCATTCCACCATCGCCTGACTGTTCAGTCTCCCAGTCCGTTCTGCACACCCCTCCCGGGTGTCTTCTAGGTGCCAGGCAGGGGAAGGCCACATGGAATCAGGGGCATGCAGAGGTGATCATCTCCTTCACACACATACGCTGGAAGGTGTTGGGCAGATACTAGTTGCTATTGCAGAGTGAGTGGGTCAGAGCTTTAACAGGCTTCCCAGCCTCCTCTTACTGTTCCAATACCAGGTAATCATGATTTGTGTCCACAGCACATCCTGGCGTAAGTTCTCCTCCTACAAGACTCCTCCTGTTCTCTAGCTCATCATTGAGCTAGACTTCAGCAGGGTCACTGTTCATCGGCTGCCCCAGGGAAGCTCATTCTAGAAAGATCCTTACAGTTTCCTGTACAACTCAGACCTGCAGAGCATAGATGCCCTCATTCACATGGCACAGTGCCTCTTGTCCTAGAGTTTTTAGCCAAGGCATCGTGACAGAGTTCATGGGATTTGGTGCGCATGCTGCTGCTGTGGTTTCCAGTGCCAGCACCTCTTTGCTTTTTCTGGCAGTCAGCTTCTGCAAAGTGACTGGTCCCTGTGTTTGCACACGATACACTTGAAGCCTCTCACAGAGGGTTGGACCATGGAGGAACTCATGTGGAGGCAATGGGGGCAAACAAAACACAGTGTACCACGTGCCTGCAGCTCCTTGGAGGAACACGTAAGCCAAACACATGGCAAGACACCGTCTCTTTTTAAAAAACAAAGCCAAAAAACAGTAGTCCCAACTTCAGATTCTTTGTGTGGAGGTCTTGCTTGGCTTTGATAGTTCCATATTCTAAGATGTCTGGAGGATGAATGGGCTGTGAGGTGGTAACTTGGCGTGGGGTCAGGCAGCCAGAGCTTCTGTCCGTGGAACATCTCCTTTCTATGCATGGAGAAGTTCTAACTTGCCAGGGCTCAGAGTTAATGGACGTCTGGACAGAATCCTCACCCTCTCCCTGTGACCTGACGTTCGCATCCCTTCCATGATCCCATGCTGCCTGAGAGCCCCGCTTCCTTTTAGTGAATAAATCCCAGATGCTGTAGTTCAAGACAGGAGAACTTCCCAAACCAGACTGTGCACAGCCACTCGAGAAATCGGCATAGAATCCTTGAGCATTTCATCACTGTAAATCCAGGGCAGGTTGCAAGTTCAGTTAGGAATGGGCTCATGCTGAGTGGCTTTTAACCCCAATTAACGTTTAACCCCTAGCACTCAACAAGAACAACCCTAGAGGCCTGGCTTTCTTCCCATGGTTATCTGAAATGCCTTCCAGAACTAGGCCAGACAGCTCAGCTGGGCATTTGGCATGTGACTGCCTCCACTTGAACCCTAGACCTTGGACCCTCCCAGTCCTGTATTCTGCTTGCTGCCCACACAGATCCTTGTGTTTAGGGTGACACCAATATCTTGGTCCCTTATAAGAGGTGCCTTGGAGCCGGGCGCTGGTGGCTCACGCCTGTAATCCTAGCTACTCAGGAGGCTGAGATCTGAGGATCGCGGTTCAAAGCTAGCCTGGGCAGGAGAGACTGTGAGATTCCTATCTCCAATAAATCACCAGAAAACCAGAAGTGGCGCTGTGGCTCAAGTGGTAGAGCGCTCGCCTTGAGCTTAAGAGCTGAGGGACAGCGTCCAGGCCCAGAGTTCAAGCCCCACGACTGACCAAAAAAAAAAAAGAGGTGCCTTGGGGTGGAGGTGTGGCCCAAGGGGTAGAGAACTAGCCCAGCACTCACATACATAGCCCTGAGTTCTAATCCCTGTACCACCAACAAAAATAAAAGCTGGGTGCCAGGGGCTAATCAGAAGGCTGAGGTCTGAGGATTGAGGTTTGAAGCCAATTTATCTCCAATAAATTACTCAGAAAAAGCCGGAAGTAGCACTGTGAGTCAAGTGGTAGAGTACTAGCCTTGAGCACAGAGAGGCTCAGAGACAGCACCCAGACCCTGAGTTCAAGCCCTAGGACTGGCTAACTAAGTAAATAAAACCTTACCCACCCATGCTATTAACAGAGGAATCTCAGATACTCCCAATCCTGGAATGAGAAGATCCCCCCCCAAAAAAAAAACTTGACCTTTGATCTTGAGACTTGGGAATCATAGAGATTGAATGGAGAGAAAGCCCCTAGCCCCTGGATTCTCAGCTCTTAGAATTCTATTGATTCCAAAAACCAGCAGAAAACTGTATTTTTTAAAAAATGTAATTTTATTATTATTAAGGACTTGTACAGAGGGGTTCTCATTCCATAAGTCAGGGAGTGAGTGCATTTCTTTTTCTGGACAACGTCACGCCTTCCTTTGCTTTCCCCTAGTTTCTTCCTTCCATTCCTGCCCACGTCACATAGGTCACCTTCCACATGGTGTCTACTGAATAGTGTGATTGCATTTGCTCACCTTTCCTCCCTCCCTTTCTATGCCTCTGTCTGCCCCCCCCCCAGGAAAAAAAAACGTAAAACTAAAACCAACACCACCACTACCACCACCAAGAACAAGAACAACAAAAAATCATGTTCTATTTCCTGAAGAAAAGTTGACTTTTAGAGAGAAACAAAAAAAGCACATACTTGGAGAACTGCTACTTGGAAAAAAAATGGCAAGAAGCAGCTCAGTGCCAGCAGGCCCAATATAACCCTCCTTCAGGGGCTGGGAAGGTGGCTCAGTGGTAGAGTGCTTGCCTTGCACGCATGAGGCCCTGGGTTCAATTCCTCAGCACCACATAAGCAGAAAAGGCTGGAAATGGCACTGTGGTTCAAGTGGTAGACCACTAGCCTTGAGCTGAAGAGCTGAGGGACAGCGCCCAGGCCCTGAGTTCAAGCCCCACAGCTGACAATAATAATAATAAGATAACCTTCCTTCAGTCTTGCACCTCCCAGCCCTGAGTAGGAAGGACAACACTTGAGCGTTGCCTTGACACTTCCCCCGCCATCTCGTATGTACACCCAAGGGTGCTGCCTTTGGGAGGCAGAATTGGGGGCTCCTCCCCTGGGAGGCAGGGCTGAGAAGGAACTGCAGGCACCCGTGTTGCTCTGCTTTCTCATTCTGTCACTGACCTCTGCGGTCCCTCTATCTCCTCATCAATACAACGAGGACATTGCCACCTGCTCAGGTGGCTTCCCAGGCCGGTGTGAGAGAGAAATGGAACCATATGTGAGCCCTTTACGGAGGCAGAAAGGCCTGCCACATTGGTGTCACCACTCGATGACTTTCGTAGGACGAGGCTGGGAGGAAGGACAGACGGCTAGGACAGTGGCGCTGACAGTGGCAGTGACTGACAGGCAGGTGGCAGCCTTTTCAGGGGGCTGCCTTTGGACCAAACTTAAAGCTTTCCATTTTACTCTTCTGGTTTAAATGTACAGAGAGAGCTGGTGACAGGTTCCAAGCTGCCTTTCTTTCTTCTGGGCTGTGATGTTGACGTTTACTCACGCATTCTCCTTTGGGACAGCTAAACAAAGGACAGCATGTTAGGAATGGGAGAAACATGTCTGTACTGCTTCGGGGGAAATGCAGGCTTCATTTCCCGTGGTGGCTGAGCTTTGGGCACCTGAGCAGGCATCAGCCTTGGCTTTGCCAGGTCTTGGCAGAGCCACATGCTGCCCATAGAGTGCCCAACCTTGGACCATTCCAGCTCTCGTGAGGCTGTCAGGTGCCTTCCCCACATCTCCAGTCCCTGGTTCTGAAGAGTGGGTGTCCCTCCGGGCTCTGAGGGGCAGAGAGCTGGGATTCAAAACAGAAGATTTCTATCGCACTCTGTCCTTGGGTCTCACCTCTGGCAGAAGCTAGGGAAACGTGACTCCAGCCCCAACCCTATATGTGCTGCATGTGGCTTCGTCCTGTGGGGGGCGCTGTGCTGCTCTGTGCCGTGGGGAGCCGTGCCCTGCCATATTTGGAACTCTGGCCTTGGAGAGGAAAAAATTTCCATGGTTTAAAGCTAACCCCAGCTTGAGGATTTATTACCTATGTCAGCAGAGATCAGAGATGGCTGGACGTTTGGCACCTGAGCGTCGGCAGAGGGGACACAGAAGGACAGGCAGCCTTGCTTAGCTATAGACCCCAGAACATTCTTAAAAAGCAGTGGCCTGCAGTACTTTGGGAAGGCAAGCTGCCTTGTGTCCATCCGGACTCCAGTAAGGCTGCCGTGGGGTGCAGCAATTTCACTGACCCAGAAAGAAAGAGATTGGAGCGGCCCCATTTGTACCCTCCCGGTCTGTCTTGGACTTTACTCTTAGAGATCAGCTGGAAGATTTCATTAGAAATCAAAGAGTTGCTCTTTGATTTTTTTTTTTAAAGAAACACGCTTGACTGCTGCCACTGGTGTCCCAGCCTTCTATAATGAGTTAGGCGACAAGAGTCCTTGAAAAGAGAGTTTGAACTGATCAATGGCATTTGGGGGTTGGAAAATGCTCAGGAGCCAGCTAATTTATAATGTCATATGGGCTAGACTGGAAGACCCAAGAGGATAGGCTGTCTGTTGGTTTTCTATTTCATCCTTTTTTTTTTTTTTTAAAGAAGGAGAGAGAAAGCACAAGGTGCCACATTTGGCTGGTGAGTCCTCAGAGGACCCCTTAGACCCTCAGCAGACTGAGGCAGGACCTTCTGCCTCAGCTCCTTTCATCCTGAAGACTTCAGCAGCTGCCCCACGCCTGCCTTCTATCCTGTCACTCAGATGCCCGATCCTGCAGTAGCCAATTCCAGCGCTGGCTAATTTGCAAGGGACACCTGTTCCTTAATTAGCCTCAGCTCGAGGTCTGCATCTTCATCTGGGCTCCTCTGATGAGCCCACCAAAGAGCTGCAGTCGAGCAGTCTGAGCGTACTGGCTGCCTCCTCCAGGTGGGGTAGCCAGTCTGTGCTCCTGAGCATTACAAGAAGAAGGGACCACCCCCCGAGTCACCGTCCAGTGGGGGGGGGTAGCAGAGCTGAGGCTATGGGAACGGGGCCTACCAGTTTTCACTCTGAAATCAGACCTGCTGTCCCCAAGACAAAGTGGGGGCAAACCCTCGTTTGGACGACCAGATGCCTGTGCCTGTGGCTTGTTGTAAATGTTGGCACCTTACAAACGCTTCCTTTTCTAGGTGTGTGTGCTTGGTCTCCTTGCAAGAATGCCCTCAGGGTTAGGATTTGGTCCCAAAGGTCCTTCTTGTCTGAAATGTTCGCAAACATACACTGAGGAGGAGGAAGATGGAGCTGGGGCTAATTAGGAAGCTGAGCTGTGCAGGGGCAGGATTCTCTGCCCTGGAAAATCATTCTGCTGCCCCCACCCTGCTTTTATGCAGTGGAACCTTCTAAGCAGAGATCTTCCGGAGGTTCCTAAGATGAGATCTGATCTCCCTTCTAAGTGTCCCCAGGAGTCTTGGCTCCCACACAGCTGGAGTACTGTGTTTTTACCTGTTAAGGTGACTGAGTGTGATCTGTGTTTCCGTTCCTAGGTCAGAGGTGAATCGTCCACCAGCAAGGTGGGGCGGGGCAGGGCAGGGCAGGGAGAAGCACTAACATATAACTGCAGGCTTCAGTTACTTGGAAATGTGTGGCAAGTGGCTTTGTATTTATTCTTCCACCTGACATCTCCTTCTCCATCCTTCAAAAGAGAAATTCATCAGTGGAAAGTTTCCCTCAAGTGGTAATTTTCCTAAATGACTTACCAGTGGTGCTGCATACAGACTAGCTTGGCCAGAGGGGGTGGCTGTGAATGCATTAGATCCTGTATCCCGCTTCCCAGCTTCACGGCCCACTGGGTAGCTGCCCTTGCTTTTGCTGTGAATCCCTTCTTCTGCCTTCCCTGGTCACCCCAACCTAACAACCCCCCCCAAGGGCTGGTTCTGAGGTCCCTAGCAGAAAGCTCTTCTTTCCAGAAATCTCCCAGCCCCGGTGACCGGCCTGCCTTCGCCCACCCCAGCTAATTAGAGCCTTTCCTTCAGCGGCACTCTTCCGTCACTCATTCTCACAGTGATAATGGACTTGGAGAAGAGGTCACAGCCTCTCCCACATCCTGCTCTCCTTGAGGAAGGGGCGGGGACTGGGCGGGCTCACCCCTCATTCTGCAGGGCTGGGAGCTCCCTCCCGCCTGCCACAGACACAGCTTCCAGGCTCAGCAGCTGGGGTAGTCACCCACTCGCTCGCGGGCCAGAGCGCACGTCCCCACGGTGGGCCCCTCTTTCCACTCAGGCTTCAGCGCCTTCTGTTGCATCTCTGGTGACTGTCATTAGCATTAACGTGATAAAATGGTGCAGTGTAAATGTTAATAAGGTCTGATGCCTCGCCTGCTTCCGAGTGGCAGATTGGAAATGGTGCCATCATCTTACCTCCAACGAACAGCTTTTAATTCCTCTGCTCCCTGAGCAGCCAATTTGGCATGGAAAACCCAGCTGCCCCCTGCCACTCCGGCTCTACTGCAAGCAGGGTCCGCATCTCCCACATACCAGTTGTCTAAGATGAGGCTTAACTCTGTGTGTGTCTGTGCGTCTGTGCATACACACACACCAATTCTGGGACTTGAACTCAGGGCCTGAGCACTGTCCCTGAGCTTTTTTGCTAAAGGCTATCTCTACCACTTGAGCTACAACACCACTTGTGGCTTTTCACTGATTAACTAGAGATGAGAGTTTCATGGACCTTTAGACTCTTCCCTCCAATTAACCACCAAAAAAACAGAAGTAGAGCTGTGGCTCAAGTGGTAGAGCTGTAGCCTTGAGCAGAAAAGCTCAGAGACAGCATCCAGATCCTAAGTTCAGTCCCCAAGACTAATCTACACACATGTGTAAACGCGCGCGCGCACACACACACACACACACAGAGTATTTCATGGGCTTTTCTGTCCAGGCTGGCTTTAAACTGTGAGCCTCAGATCTTAGCCTCCTGAGTAGCTAGGATTACAGTCGTGAGCCACTGATACCCAGCAACTTTTTTTTTTAAGTACTTTGACCTATTCTCCAGAGAAAGCACTGAGGAGGACCGGTGCTCTAGGCACCCACCCTCTGACCTGCTTCCTCCACAGCTCAGACTTTTTCCACCCCTAGTTTTTCTGCAGGTGGTACTTGTTCTTATGAATTCAGGTGGTTTGGGAATAGGTAAGTCCTTCGGGGCTGGTTCTTGCTCTCCAGACTTCCTTGTGAGCTGATTCTCGGCTGAACAATGATGTCCTGATAACTCCTCTCCTCCACGCCCTTCAGAAGGGACACCTCTCATCGGCCTGCCTCGCAGAGGGCCTGCGTCCCCTGTGTGCTCATCCGCCTGCCTCGCAGAGGGCCTGCGTCCCCTGTGCGCCCAGTGCTCCTTGTCCTTTCTTCACAGCAACAGTGAGGGCTGGTTCCTTGTTCTGTCCTCTTCTTGCTGTCACTTTGTACCGATCCCACGTGGATCGGTACTGAGGTTGCCCAGTCCCCATTGCTTACTGAAGAGCACAGGACGGAGTGGGCAGGGTGCCCAGGGCAGTGCTTAGGCCTTGCCTAGAAGTGCAGGAGCACTGGGTGCTGGTGCCTCCTACCTGTAATCCCAGCTACTCCAAGAGGCTGAGATCTGAGGATCATGATTTGAATCCAGCCCTGACAAGAAAGCCCATGAAACTCTTGTGTCCAGTCAACAAGCAAAAGGAGCTGTGATTCAAGTGATAGAGTGTCAGCCATACAGGAGTCTGGGGCTCTGGTCTTCTCCACACCCCTGGTAACTGGGCCTTACTCCCCCAGTGATGCACTCAGACCCCAGGGAGCCTCTGCCAGTGCCAGCCTGCACGTGGGGTAGGTTTGGCCCTGGCTGGGAGTACGGACTAGGTGTGTGCTCTCTCGTCCTCTATGAGGGACCTACCTTCCTCACTGCTGCTTTCCCCCCCAGGCTGTCTTCACACTCTTCCTTGGACCTTTCACCTTCTTCGACGTCCAGAAGACCAAGTACCTGCAGATCCTGACCTCCCTGATGAGATGGATTGGTGAGTCTGAGAAACATCCGAACTCTGCCCTTCTCCCTCACCCCATCCCTCCCTCCACCTCTTCTGCGAGGCGGCGCTGGGGAGGAGGCGTCCCCTGCCGGAGTCTGCCCCAGACCTCCGACCTTCCCACAGGACACAGGAGGGCACAGTGCCCCGTGTGCCTTTTACTACGCAAGAACTTCAGCACCAACAAAAGACAAATGACTTGGTTTTTTTTTGAAGTCGTGTTGGGTAGATGGAGTTGGGCTGGGACCTGGACTGCTAATTCTGGAGCTAGCCTCCTTCCCAGGCTGACAGTGGGCTCCTGGAGGCCTGGGTCGGGCTGTGCCCCTGGAGACAGGAATGGCACCATTCTACCTTCCCGCCGGGGCGCAGTGCAGCACAGTCATAAAACCCAGCGGCCTGTGGCACAGCCACTCTTCCCCTCTGAGTCCCGGACCACTGGAGTATGAAAAGACACGTGTCCACCGTGGCTCTAACTAACTAGGGCCTGCTGTGCTCCCAGCTGGAGCCAGTTAGCGGGAGGGAACGTGGTCGCTTCCACCATGTCATCCCCCACCTGCCAGCTCAGGAAAGAGGCAGCTGATGACGCCCTGGCCCAAGGACAGTGTGGGTTCTGGGCATCCATTGGATCTTTGTTTTACTTCATTGAAAAGCAAAAAGGGGACAGGAGGTGGAGCTCAGGGGCAAAAAAAAAAAAAAAAAATCTTGCCTAGCATAGAGGCCCTGGGTTTGATCACCAGCACCACCAAAACCCAAAAAGGACTGTTGCTGTTCTGATTACCAGCCCTGGGCTGTTGGCTGTGCCAGCCTCCCTGAGCTACCTCACCCCCTGCTGGACGTTCTAGAGGAATCTAGACATTCCCAGATAAGGATAACTATCAGCTTCTAGAGCAGCCCTGTGCCTGTTGACTGTGACAGTCCGCTCTTGTCTGACAAGTAATACGTCCATCTAAAGGAAGAAGCTTACAAAGGGGCGAGAAGGAGCTGACAGTAAATACAAGTTACACAAGCACCTAGACCTGGGTCAGGAGAGCAGCCAGCAGGCCTAGGTCCTGGGATGTGGCTGCCGGTAGTCCCTGCTCCCTATCTGTTTTCTCATTCTCCAGAATCTGGTTGAAAGCCAGGTGTGATGACTCACGCCTGTAATCCCAGCACTCAGGGGCAGGAGGATCATGAGTTGGGGACTAGCCTGGGCTACCTAGTGAGATGCTGTCTCAGAACAAAATATCTGGCTCTCCGAGTGGAGTCTGTCCTGGATAACCCCTGCCGTGCTGCGGAGCTGGGGAACAGAGCCCCTGAAAGGCTTTGGGCAGCAATGGGACCCTGGATCAGAGTCCGGTGTGTAAAGGTCACGGTTACCTGTCTTCTGGTGGCAGTGCTGCCGTCTTTGTGGCCATTTGCTTATCCTCCACCTTGGATCTGAGTGATAGTGAAATGTCAGGAGTTGGAGGGAACTGCTCTATGTGACAGCGAACAGGCAGTCATTTTTCTCCATGGGAGAGTCAGACCTCTGGGCTTGCAAAGCAGACCTCCTGGTGACAGAGCCCACCCAAGATGAAGGAGAACTGCCGTCAAGTAAAGTAAAGTAGACCAGAGTAAGCCAAGTGGCAGCTCCCAGCAGAGCAGTGGAGCCTCCTGGGGATTTTCCCCAGGCTGCCGCAGATCTGGAGCAAGAGGACAGAGGTGCTGGCGTCCCCTGGAGCGGTCAAGCAGTGCCCAATGGGCAGCCCTATCTGTGGGAGGGACTGTCTGCCCAGTGGTCTCAAGCCAACTCAGAACAGAGGTTGGGCCCCCCTGTGAGGGTATCTCTTCTCTGGGCCAAGCTCACCCCAGGCAGTTTTTCTAGAACTCCATAGGGGCAGTGATCTCAGAAGCCCCATTTGTCCCTTCAGGTCTCTGCCAAGTTGTCAGATTACAGCACACTCCCTTTTCATCTCGCCTTTGAAGAGCAGCTGTGTGGTCCCTCCCTGCTGGACCCTCGCTCCCACACCCGCCTGCTGCATACCCTTCCAATTCCCGCTTCCAAGATGAGGGCTGTGCCTTTCCAAGAGCCCAGGGAGGTGGGGGGGGGGCGGGCTCAGGGTGGCAATAAGCTGGTTTGGGTTCCAGGAAGACAGAGAAACAACGAGCACCAAAGGGACTGGAGAATCGTGCATAAATGTGCTGAGCCGGAAACTTTCCCGTGCTTAATTAGAAATTCGTTCTGCCATCTGTTGAAATGAGGCCAGGGGAGATCGCAGGCTCCAGAGCTTTGCTGTGGTGCTCTGGCCAGCTCCTCTGGGAGCTTTTACTCTGTCCTTCCCGCGCCTGAGAGCCCTGAGGTCCCCACAACACCTCACAGCACCAGAATTGGGCTTGTGGTTGTTCACTTGTTGTTTGTTTGTTCGTGTTTTCAGAGTGGGATTTAAAGGGTTAAATGGCCTTTGAAAATAGCCACTTGCCAGGGAAGATGTCAGACAATGGATGACCAGTGTCGATGGATCAATTGGTTTCTTATATGCCCCTAGTAAAGTTCTGGGGACAAGAGGGTGGTCAGTTTGGGATTCCTGAATCGTGAATACCTCCGAGTTCAGGTGTACGAGAAGAACCTTGTTAGCTGTCCACAAGCAAGGCTGTCCGGCCTTAGCAGACCTTCCAGCCAACCCCTTAGTCTTCCGATCCCTATCCCGAGATGATCGCTTCAGATCAGCTGCATGTAGGATCTGAGCCCAGGACCCTGACCCGGCAGCTGGCTTGCACCCCTCGTCCTGTTCCTTTTGAGGTGGGTCAAACAATGTGTGCTCCGGCAGCACACAGGCCAACAACCCAGCGTCCCTCCGCCACACCCCTCGCCTCCCACAGACTGTAAAGATGCAATGAGAACACGCAGAAAGTGCTGTTGGCACTGTTCCTGGTGCCAAGTGAGCATGCAGCGGCGAGCGGCAGTGAGCGGCACCCCATTGTTGCCCTAGCCAGCCACTGCCTACTCCTGACAGTGGCCTCAGAATAAGCCATGAGCACCAGACACCAGTGGCTCACACCTGTAACCCTAGCTACTCAGGAGGCTGAGATCTGAGGATCAGAGTTCAAAGACAGCCCAGGCAGGAAAGTTCATGAGACTCATTGCCAGTGAACCACCAGAAAACCAGAAGTAGAGCTGTGACTCAAAGTGGTACAGCACCAGAGTTGAGAAAAAAAGCTCGGGGACAGAAGAGAAAGAAGAGGAGGAAAAAGAAGAAAGGAAGAGAGGAAGGAAGGAGGGAGGAAGGAAGGAAAGAAGGGAGGGAGAGAGGGAAGGAGAAAGTGGTGAGATTAGGGGAACAAGCTCAGCCATGTCCAGAAAGAGCGAGCCATCTGCACAGCCTCCCTCACCAGCTCCGTCCCCGTCCCCGCTGCGGCTCATCCCTGCACCCAGCCTCCACCCTCACACCTTCAAGGAAACTCAGCCTACAAGAAATGAGAAGTAAGCTCCTGCAGGAGGGCAGAGGCTCTTGGGTCCTAGCTCTATGTCAAGCAGCAGGTGGCCCAGAAACACAGGAGAGGGGCACCCCACAGGCCCAGCTGCCATGGCCGGAGATCTTGGGCCTTAAGCCATGAGACTCAAGCCTGCCGGCAGCTTCCATACTGGCTGCCCCATGGAGAGCTCTCAGGCTGGAAAGGGCCACGGTGGCCTTCCTCCTTCCGTCCCATTACCACTTTCCCCGGCAGATGCTTCCCGCTTGGGAACACAAGCAGCTGGCTAAGCTCAGCGCGCCCCATTTGGCGTTATTAAAAACCCAAGTCTTTCTAATAAAGGCTGCTGCGGCGCACGCTGCCGCCCTCAGGGTTGGCTGCCGAGAGCCCGCAGGGTTTCCTTGCCTTGCTTGTGTATGCGGAGCAGACACGCGCGCGCTCAGTCTCTGTTCTCCTCAAAGTGGGTCAGACGCCGTCCTCCCCGGGCGTCGGTGGAAGAGCTGGCGCTGCCACGGGAAGTGGCTCGGTCCTACTCCCCCCACACACACACCCTGGCCCCCACAAGTGCCCCAGATTGCTTTCAAAAGCCAGAGGTGGGGGTGGGGACCCGGGGGAGCAGGAGGTCCACAAGAGGAGACCTTCACCTCGGAAGAGGAGGGCTTTCCGTGTTTCACCTGTCTCCAGGTCCATGTCTGGTCTCTGCGGGAATCCCAATCTGTCGCTCTCCACAGCCAGGGGTCTTGTGAGCCATCTGTTGCCCACCCTGCCAGTTGGCATTTAAATTCTTCCACAGCGACTCCTCCACTAGTGCCTCCTGGAGATCCAGGAAGGACCTTGTCACCCCAAATGTAGATGGCACCCCCCCACCCCCTGTCCCCACCACCGCGCAGCCAGGCCTCCCGTGCTGACCCTTCCGTCCCCTCTGCCTCACCTCCCGCCCTTACTGCTCCCCCCGCCCTTTAGGTCACTCTCCAGGGCTTTCTGGAAGCTAGCCACTCTTCAGGGTCCAGAAGAAATCCAGAAAAACCTTTTGTGTATGTTCCATTGTGGTCTCCACTTTATTCTCGGTTTAAAGGGAAGTTTATAGAGCAGAGCCCAGGGCGTCTGGCCTAGGGCTGCTCATCTTTGCTGGAGAAGAGACAGCCACAGGCAATCGCCTGCGAATGACCAGAGACTGGGCTGAGCACTGAGCGAAGGAAGCTTTTGTTCTCTGGGCGGCTTCTCTCCTCTGAGTTGGTCAGCAGCTCCACCGTGCTTGTGGCCCAGACCCCTGCAGATCCAGCCACCAGATGAGTGCTGACAGACTGGCTGCCTGGGCACTAGGGGGCAGGGAGGGCAGGTTTCAGATCGCAGCATAGGGGCTGATAGTAGCTGCCCACATGACCTCTAGGCAGGGTTGGGGCTCACACTAATGACCTTGAAGCTGTCTGGTAGTCATTCACAGGCATGCACACACACACACACACACACACACACACACACACGCAGCTGGCTTGAGCCAGCTCTGAGCATCTCTGTAGCCTAGAACTTACGTTCATACCAGGGGACTCTACACACCCTCGTCC